TAGCAGGCTTATAGAACTGGGAGTTAGGTGGTGTTCGGCTGTTTCCTGATTAGCCCAGTTCTAAAATGGGGGTAGTTCAATCAGGCCGGCTGCTCGTTCATAGAAATAAATGCAGCCCCGCTAGAAGTCTGCACAGGCTTTGTGCTACCTACAACTATCGCAACGCTTTCCCCCAAAATGCGACCCTGAAAAAAAAAAGAAAAACTGTGTTAAGAAAGATGTAGACACACAAAAGAACACATTTGAATGGGCAGTACTAGCTTCTCCCCCTTCTTGTTCTTCTTCTTTTTTTATTTCTTCAAACAGTGCGGGCGCTTTGTGCTCCGGGTCAGATTTGGGGGGTAATGAATGCATACTCCGGCTGATCGTGACGGTAGCCAAGAACACGGCAGTGTAGAGTCGGTAAATGTTTGCAATGCGTCACGACTGAGACTGAAGACCGCGGCGCCCCGCTATCTTGCGTCAGTCCGCGGCTAGCTGACACGGACGGGAGACGACAAGTCTTTTGCCTCTTGTTACTCTTACTCCTAATTCTAAGGTAAATGGACTTTATTTATAGATATGACTTTCCAGATCTCTTCCCAAGCAATGAAGCAAAGGCCGGTGCTCCCCCTTTCCCCCAAATCCTAGCACCTCTCCCAAAATGTTCAAATTTAGGAGGTTTTCTCTTAGTATTTATATGAAAATTTGCTGATTTTTCGTCAACTGATCAGGGAGCACCTCTCCCCTCAGAATTTCTGGGGAGACCCCTGCTTTCTCATTGCCAATGTGGTACTTTATTGCGCTGTGTAAGGTGTGTAGGGTTAGTGGGTTTGCAGTGTACGGTAATTTAGGTGCAGAAGGGGACACAACATGTGGATTGCGGTTTACGGGAGGGAAATGTGGGTCTCATGTCCTCGGGTCTCATTAACACCTCCATGATGTACTAATTGGCCTTCTAAGTAGCGCTAATTGTGCCGGCGTGAAGAGGTTAGTGGTTGTTGCGCGCCTGCGCCGTGACGCTGTGGTGGTCTCGCGGTTACGCCCCCGAGACGAGCTAGCTCACAGTCAGCCAGCAGTCGGAATCGGACGCATGTGGATACCAGTCACACTTCTAGTCGTGTCCTGATCAAGTACGTTCTAATTCTTCCCGCAGGGTAGACAGACTGACTACAGGAGGAGAAGTGCTTGTTGTGGCGTATAACGACGGCTGGACGTGTTTCTGCTGTGTGTAGGTAGTTTCTCTCACTGTGTCTTTCAGGTGAGCGTTCGGGGGAAAGTCGGGTGTAGGCAGACACGAGCGCGCTGCGTGTCTCCACTATCGGGTAACAGTGAACACACAGGGTAGCCGGATCGGGTGTGCGCCACACGGTCCCCGCCTGCGATTCACCGGGAGATATTCTGTCAACTTCCAATTGCTGCCCCCATCAGAAATATTTTCATTTGTTTCTTTCAACAACAGGGCGGCTGTGTATATGTAAACAGTGACCCATTCCGAGTGAAAATGGCCAGTTGTAGGCTGAGTGGCGGACTACTGGTGGCTGGCGTGCTGGTTTGGGCCGTGCAGCTGTGTTGCCTGGTGCGGCAGACGTCGGGAGGGTTCGACTTGAACATGTTCGCGGCGCAGCAGAGCCCGCCCGACCCGTGCTACGACGAGAACGGGAAGCCCAGGAGATGCATTCCAGACTTCGTCAACGCCGCGTTTGGAAAAGAGGTGAAGGCGTCGAGCACCTGCGGCACGCCGGCGAGTCGTTACTGCACCCTGACGGGCAACTCGGCCGACGCAGCCGCCGCCGGTGGCGGGGAGTCGTCAGCGGAGAGGGCCCGGGTCTGCCACGTCTGCGACTCCACCGTCCCGAAGCGCCAGCATCCCCCGTCGTACCTCACCGACCTGCACAACCCCAACAACGTAACGTGCTGGCAGTCCGAGCCGTACATCCAGTACCCCACCAACGTGACCCTCATGCTGTCTCTCGGGAAGAAGTTCGAGCTCACGTACGTCACCTTACAGTTCTGTTCCCTGCGGCCCGAGTCCATGATTATCTACAAGTCCATGGACTACGGCAAGAGCTGGGTGCCGTACCAGTTCTACAGCACGCAGTGCAAGAAGACGTACCAGAAGCCCAACCGCGCGCTCATCACGAGAGCCAACGAGCAGGAGGCCATCTGCACCGACGCGCACTCCGACATAGAACCGCTGACGGGCGGGCGGGTCGCCTTCTCGACGCTCGAGGGGCGTCCGTCCGCCTTCAACTTCGACAACAGCCCGGTGCTCCAGGACTGGGTGACCGCCACGGACATCAAGGTGGTCTTTAACCGGCTGAACACGCTTGGCGACGAGGCAGAGGAAGCCTCCCGGGACTCCTATTACTACGCGGTGTCCGACTTCGCAGTGGGCGGCCGCTGCAAGTGTAACGGCCACGCGTCGAAGTGTGTCCATGACCGAGAGGGGAGGCTGGCCTGCGACTGCAAGCACAACACCGCCGGGGACGAGTGCGACCACTGCAAGCCCTTTCACTACGACAGACCCTGGCAGAGGGCGACGGCACGGGACGCTAACGAATGTATAGGTGAGTGATTCTTCCTTTATCCTTCTCTCACAGCCATACACACAGATACATACAACCTAGTTAGTACCTCTGATGGCCTGTATGTAAAGAATGTGTTCTGGGTGACAGAAAAAGCGTGTCCTGAAAAACTATGCCCGAACTCAAGTGTATCAACCGTAGGCTAAGATTAAGAATTACCTGATCAAACCACCCACCGCCTCTGTTGTTCTCAGTCGGTTCGACAACAAGTAGGCTTTAGTAAGCAAATCTCTGGCCTAAAATACCGACGGTAGCCTCTAACGCAACGGACGGTGGCGGTGGCGCCTCTCCTCACTTTCCTGACTGTTTATTTTGCTGCACTCAGGCGAAACAGGGATCCCCAACAATGCATAAACATTGGTGGGAAGGAAAAAGGGGCACACACACACGCATATACACAATCATATACACTCACGACACTCACATAATGCGGTATGGAGAAGAGTACTCAAGCGTTTCGACAGGCATAACCCTATGAACTAGCGTCAACTTCTGAAACGTCACTGAGAAAAAATGACAGAAGGATCTGAGCAGACACTAACTGAAGACAGCAGCGACCCGATAGGAAAGAGTGTCGAGCCAAAGTAAAGATTGAATTCCAGGCTGCAGTATTTATCCAGATGTGCGCTGATCCGAAGTCGACCCCATCCGCGTCGGGGGTTTGTAGAAAGGGTGGAGAAGTCAGCCGTGGAAAAATCGCCTGACACAAGACGGAAATCGCCTCCTAAAGCTGATCTCCTACTAAATAGACAACCGGGAAACTGTGTGACACTGTCAGAAACTGAGCAGGGATGTACGTTTTAAAACGATCTAAAATTCAGAGGACGATTACATAGTATTTAATAGGACCCTGTCAAAGATACTATACTACTAAATGGAAATCGCCTTCTAAAGCTGATCTCCTACTAAATAGACAACCGGGAAAGTGTGTGACACTGTCAGAAACTGAGCATACAAAAAAGGAGGCACATTTTAAAACGATCTAAAATTAAGTACATAGTATTTAATAGGACCTTTTCAAAGCTTCTATACTACTAATTAGGAAAAATAGCCTGACAAAATACGGAAATCATCTTCTAAAGCTGATCTCCTACTAAATAGACAACCGGGAAACTGTGTGACACTGTCCGAAACCGAGCATACAAAAAAGGGAGGCACTATACTACGATACCACTATACAAAGATACTATACTACTACTAGGAAAACGTGTTCCTACAAAATGTGGTCTCCTATTAAATAGATAATCGAGAAAGTGTGTGACACTGCCAGAAACTAAGCATACAAAAAAGGAGGCATGTTTTAAAACGATCTAAAATTAAGGGGATGATTACATAGTATTTAATAGGAGCCTGTAAGAAAGATACTATACTACTAGTACTACTAGGAAAACGAGTTCCTACAAAATGTGGTCTCCTATTAAATAGACAACCGGGAAACTGTGTGACACTGTCATAAACTGAGAATACAAAAAAGGAGGCATGCTTCAAAACGATCTCAAAATAAGAGGACAATTACTAGTACATAGGACCCTGTCAGAAAGATACTATACTACTAGGAAAACGCGCTCCAACAAAATTTGGTCTATCAACTTTCACAAAACAAATGATAGAGCTCTGCTAGGGAAACTTTGGCTTGAAGTGTGCATTTTACAAAGTAGGTTATCCCTTGCTTAAGCTCGTAACATTGACCAGATTAAACGGTATTTACGATGTCAGATTCAGCGGTGAACATCCGGAAGGATCAGTTTTAGCGAGTGCAAACTGTAAAACTGGAAGACCATCGCGGTATTTGATAGAGAAATTGGTGTTTGTCTTCTCATAACAGTCTTCTTATACTAGTTTTCTACCAATGACAGTTTCTATTCAAAGGAATTGCAAAACTGTCATCTATAATAGTATTATAAGACAAAAAATTAAGTGATGCACATTGGGACAGCCAGTTTTTAATGAGTACAAAACAGAAAACTTGAAGACCATTGTGGTATTTGATAAAGAGACCGGTGCCTGTTCTATATTAAACAGCCCTGTGACAATGAGAGTTTATATTCGAAGAAACTAAAAAGCTGTCATCTATTATACGACCAGACATTAAAATAATGCACATTGGGGCTGACCAGTATTAGTGAGTAAAACCCAGAAAACTCAAAGACCATTCTGGTAATTATAATATATCACATTTGATAAAGAGAAGTTGTTATTCGAAGAAATCAGAAAACTGTCATCTATTTAAGTTTTATATAGCAGCAAAGTAAGTGAAGCACACTGGGACAGTCTAGTTTTAGCATGGAGGTTCCATCCTTGGTTACAGCGAGTACAAACCAGAAAATTCGAAGACCGTTGCGCTAATCGTGTTTGATAAAGAGATCGGTGTCGGCCTCACAACGGACTTCCAGCAGTGACAGTTTCTATTGGGGGGAAAGGCAAAGCTGTCGTCTATTATACTTCTCACTCCTTTGATGCTGCAAATTTGTAGTGCCCAGGTCAGCACCTGAGCTAACTGGCCCCACCACCCAGCGTGTTACCCCTTTGGGAACAATCTGTTGTGTTTTCCCCGCCTAAGCTACGGCTCTCTTTCACTTGGAAATTACTGTTTGCCCGAGGAGGGTTCCAGCCGCTTTTTCACATCTTAAAAATGCCAGTTGCTATTGGGACTGCGCGAGGCCCCAGGTTGGGAATGCGAGTGTCATGTTAATGTGGGGCCGGGATGAAAAGTGTTCTGTTCATCACTGTTTGCCGAGGCACAAAGGGAGCTGTCCGCAGGATTAATAAGAAAATTCCACGGGGGCCACACCATGTATGAGACAGTAACTAAAGTACACAAGATTCGGGAGATGTTCATTCGAATAGGAACGTAAAGCAGGCGGCAAAAGGAGAAAGCTTATGGCATCACAATCTGTATGTAAAAAAACCCAACACACTAATAATAAGAAAATTCCCCTGGGCCAAACCATCAGAGTATGTATGAGAAAGTACTAACTAAAGTACTAGTACACATTCGGGGGATGTCCTTTCTTATGGGGGAAGGTAGAGAGCTTATGGCGTCACAATCTGTATGTAAAAGAACCCAACACACTTGTTAATAAGAAAATTCCATGGGGGCCACACTGTCATGTTATGTATGAGATAGTAACTAAAAAAAAGTACACAAGATTCAGGGATGTCCTTTCTGATGAGAACATAAAGTCGGCAGCACAGTGTAGGAGAGAGCTTGTGGCGTCACAACTCCGTATGTAAAAGAACCCAACACACTTACCGAGAAGAGTAGGGGTGACACAGTGTGCTTGGCTTGACACATGAGCCATAGTGAAGCTGTATTGCACTTCTACTAGCTAACAAAAAAAGCATCATCCTCAGTATGAAATTGCCCACTTTACTTTTCTTATGCGATACAAACCACAGTATACAACATTTAGGATATGGATCAGCTACAAACTAACAGCATACACGCCATTCAGGGTAGATATGAGATAGGTACAAACTACAGTATACAACATTCAGGATACAGTAAGTAGTATACAGCATGAGATACAAAGTAGAGTATATACAACATTCTGGGTATGTATGAGCTACAAACTTACATTACATTACACAACATGAGATGATAAGTACAGTATATACAACATTCAGGGTACAAACTACACTGTCCACAGTATATAACATTCAGGGTATATAGATGAGGTACACACTAGAGTATACAACATTCAGGGTACAAATGATATACAAAGTATACTAGTCTATACATAATTTGTGGTACATATGAGATACAATCTACAATACAGTATACAAAATACTGGGTACATATGACATACAACATTCAGGGTACCGGTATGTATTAGATACAAACCACAATATACAACAACATTCAGTTCTTCTGTAACCTAGCCTCCATAGCATGCCAAAAACTGGGGGTTTTGGGGGTCTTCATGGTCTTTGGGAGCTTTTATGTGCTATTTTCTGATTGCATATAGACAACATAGCCGGCCTGGTTGAATTACCCCCCGTTTTTTGTTAGACTGGGCTGATCAGAAAACAGCCAAAGACCACCAAACCCCCAGTTCTATAAGCCTGCTACGGAGGTTATCTGTACCCCCCCTTGGCCTGAGCCTACAGAGAAAGTGAAGAAAGTTTTATAGACAGTTAAAGGCATTATCATCTGGGCAAAAGGATTAATTATCGCCCATTCACGGGTGATTAACATTTTTATGAGGCGATTAAAGGGGTGAGTGGGTGAGATAAGATAAGCCCGGCATGTGGGGAGTCCTGGTTAGCGATGACAGACAGACACTGGGCTGGGGTTAGATAATCTCCAAGCAGATCCTAGGGTGCAGGGTTCTCCCCAGAAATTTTTAAGGGAGAGGTACACCCTAATCGGTTGATACCACTCCACAAAAAAAGTCAGCGAATTCTCAATACTAAGAGAAAACACTAAATGTGAATATTTTGGGAGGGTTTTAGAATTCTGGGGACAGGGGGAGCACCCTTGCTTCATTGCTTGGGGAGAACCCTGGGGTGTCAAAATCCAGTATCAAATTGGCCAGGCAGTATCCACTTAGCTTCCGTAGCAGGCTTATAGAACTGAGGGTTTGATGGTCTTTGGCTGTTTTCTGATTAGCCCAGTTCTAAAAAACTGGGGTAATTTAACCAGGCTGGCTATGTTGTCTATATGCAATCAGAATATAGCATATAAAAGCTCCCAGAGACCCTGAAGACCCCCAAAACCTCCAGTTTTTGGCATGCTATGGAGGCTACACTGGGCTGGGGTTAGATAATCTCCTAGCAGATCCTAGGGTGGCAAAATCCAGTATCAGATTGGCTGGGCAGTATCCACTGGCCTAGTCTCCACCAGACTTCTTTTTCAGGCTGATAAATACTAGTAGTAGAAATTGGCTGTGCGGGCAAACTGGAGATTCTATGGCGGCCATCTCCTCTGGCCAATGAAATTCCCTTTTTAGGCCAATTTCTACTATTTATCAGCCTGCAAAAGGAGTCTGGTGAGACTAGGGCTGGGGTTAGATAACCTCCTAGCAGATCCTAGGGTGGCAAAATCCAGTATCAAATTGGCCAGGCAATATCCACTAGCCAGAGAAGGTCCAAAATGATATTGTCTTTTGCCACCCTAGGATCTGCTTTGAGATTAGGTTTAGATGATCTCCAACTTGTCCAAGCAGATCTTTTTGTGGCTGCAAAGACAGTATCATTCAAATTGGCCAGGCCGATCCATTTGCCAGGGAGTTAACATGTTAGGCTCTGTATAAGAAAATCCTAATAGTCTATGTTCTACCAACCTAATGAAATTATTTTTGGTTGTTTCCAAGCTGTTTGGTAACAGTGGCTGCTTCATTTGTTGTGTATGGAAAGTATTCGCCAGCAAAACAAAAGCCTGTGCAGCACATGTGGAGGGAGTTTTGTTGTAATCCGGTGGTGTGTTGGTCGGTACACACAACACGCTACTGTTCAACCACCAGGCAGGGATTTGTAAACGCAGCACTGACACAACTGGGACAGGAAATCAACGATTTCTGAAAAACCAAAATAGCACGTCCTACCTTAGTGCCTACAGCTGAAATAGCTTGTCCGAGATTTGCTCCATTCGTTAAAACTACCCTCTTGTACATGTTTGACATCACAGAACTCACATATTACAGAAAAAGTGTTAGCCTCCGTAGCAGGCTTATAGAACTGGGGGTTTGGTGGTCTTCGGCTGTTTTCTGATTACCGGTAGCCCAGATCAACCAGGCCGGCTATGTTGTCTATATGCAATCAGAAAATAGCACACAAAAGCTCCCAAAGACCCTGAAGACCCCCAGTTTTTGGCATGCTATGGAGGCTAAAAAAGTGTGGTCTTTTTAATGTTTTCCCCTGTTTCAGAAAAATAGGTAAAACCTATGCAAGTTGGAATTCAGAGACAGTATGTACAAGTAGACTGGAGTAATATGTTATATTGTTCTTTGTTGTTTTAGTCATATTTTTCATGCTAGCCCTTGTATTCCTAGTTGTTACCATTTTTACCCATGCATTGATTTGATAAAAAGTTCAAAATTCATTGTTTGAATCATGAACCAGCCGGTACATTGACTCTGTGGCTACTGTGGCAGCAATTGGGGGTGATCACAGCATACCTGGGCCTGTTTTATTTAACCTATACCTGGTGCGTTGATTTACCTCATAAATCAAACAACAAACGAATCGAATCGGTGTGGCCTTACCAGTATAGTTTGTGTTCACATTGTTCTCAATAGTCCATTGCACCACCGGCCATTCTGAACAAGCTATATTAACCCTAAATCAATGATATCACCATCCTTGGGTCTAATTAACCGATGACAGACGCACATTCATACCCTCGGGAGAGCAAGGACCTTTATTAACAACACTGTAACGCAACACGACGTTCGGATGAAAACACGGCATTCACTCCGCCGTAGAATATCACGGGGCGAGCTCTAACCCGTCTCCGCTTCTAAGTTTTGTCCGTGGAAGGACAGTGTTCTCAACAAGATTTTTTCACAGCATATGGGTCAGGTACAGAAGGGCAACATTGAGCTGAAAAATTTTGAAACTCATAACCCCCTGAGACACTATTTCTCGCTTGTTTAGGTTTTCCCTTTGCTATAGCTTCATTCTAAAGTTATATTTTCATTTTTTGCAAGATTTATTAAGGTTCTCCTTAAAACAACCCTATGCTGGCCAGTTGATAGACAGCATAGGGGTCCAAATCACAGCATAGGGGGCTATGCTCAGAAGGTCTGGCGAGAACACTGCAGGGAGAGATCGGGAGAGAACCACGTTGTCTGCATGTAACAGATTGTGGGCAGTGAGGGGTCTCACATAACGGCTATCAGTAACCGTACCCTGTAACACTATCCTCTTCACATTCAACAGCCAAACACACCAACAAAGTACCAATATTTAGCCTAGGAAGCCAGGTTGGTTTTGAAAGGCAGCGAGCTGCCGTTTTAGATCTACCCGAGATATCTGTATAGAATGCGCGGGCCCCTATTTGACTAAGCCAATACGAAAACTTGTCTTACCACACATAACTGTCGCAGACAAAGCATGGACAAAGTGCCGATTTCCTAAAATGTGTGGAATGTTTTATTAACACCCAAAGGCTGATCCTTTTACCCTTGGTCGAAATAAATACAGTATATCCCTTTATCCGCCCGGACTGTACATATACAAATCAGCCCATCAATTCACAGGGAAAATCTGTGTGGTCTTTGGGCTCGATTTCTTCCTTCTAAAGAGGAAAAAGGGATAGAAACGAAGCGCCAGTTCCCAAGTCAATAAACAAGCGAGGCGCCCGAGGTTTGGTACCTTTCAGAGGCTTGTGGAGTTTGGCACGAATGTATCAATCCCTCGCTGCCCGGTTCTCTGAGCTCTTAATCCAAAATCATGTTCCGGAGGATTATGTGATGATGACGGTAAAACCAAACAGCTGGATTCTGTAGTCCAAGTCGTGGCCCAGCCAGCCTGGATTAAGCCGGTATATACAGGATCTTTGTGAGAAATTTCTGACGTCCAATATCTGTGTCAAGGATGTGGTAAAAGCGCACTCATCTTTTCCACTAACGGACATCACCTAATAATACCATTACCTAGTAGTACCGTAGAATAACTTAAACTACATTTATTTCAAGAGTTTATTCATTATTTAACCACGTTATATGTATTGCCACAAGTGCAGTTTCCAAAGGCCTCTGCACACAATGAATTTGGACTTGCTAAAGACTTTTTCCAAGAAGTTAACTGATGTAAAATAGGTCTTCCTATGGGAACTCATTGCTCCAGTCTGACCACCCAATGAAAGCGAAGCACACATAAATAGATGTCCTTATATTCACCTGGGAAATCCAGCCTGGCTGGTCATTCGGTTATGGTATGCTGGCCATTGTGTATTTCGATTTACAATTTTTGTTCCGCACAGGAAATGATATAGACATCCCCCTCCCCCCAATGTGTACGATCGCCGTTTAAATACTGCCCCCTTTGTGGAGTAGGGGAGGTAGTATTTTAGCAGAGCCACCCCTGGTGGTCATCGCAGTGGCTATTTGTAACAGAAAGTGGTCATTCTATGCTCTTTCGGCATAGTCATCTTGCTCACGTTTCACCTAAGTGCTTGTAGACATCCTGACCACAAGCCTTACACATGGCGGTGTGCCTTACTGCTAACAAGGGCCGTGTTAAAGAATTGGAGTGCTTGATCAAGTGGGAGCACCTACGTATACCGAGTGGGCCCGGACACACCTTTTACCTATCATCTCCAAACTTTCAAAAGAATCTGAACTATTTGGTTTATTTTCCTTTCAGCATTACTAGACCGTTTGTCTATTTACCTGACTTTTGTGCCGGAGACAAAGGCAAAAAGCTAAGCTTACTCCCTTCCTCCCGAACTGGCTTGTCTGCTTTCATCCACGTACAAAGACAGAGAATATCATGCTGGCTGCTCATGTTTCTCGGCTTTTCCCTCCCCCCCTTTTACAGCGTGCAACTGTAACCTGCATGCCCGCCGCTGCCGGTTCAACATGGAGCTGTACAAGTTGTCGGGGCGGAAGGGTGGCGGCGTGTGCCTGAACTGTCGGCACAACACGGCCGGACGCCACTGCCACTACTGCAAGGAGGGCTTCTACCGCGACGAGTCCAAGCCCATCACACACCGCAAGGCCTGCAAAGGTAAGCCACACGATCTCACAAACCAGGTATACCGTCATCAATTTCTCCGCACCTGTGTGGAAGTGATGACGGACGAGGGGGGAATGGCAATGGGAAAGGGGCGAAAGGAAAACACGTCTTTCAGGGCTGGCATTGGTGATGAGAAGAGGCGCGGTAGATCGGCTTTGATGCGTTTATCCGACAAAGTAGCGACACGTGTCCATAAAAGACGTCCCCGAGACTCTCACGTCTCTTTGTGGGGTTGAAAAAAAACACCTGATGTTATCAAACCTATTACATCTCCTCTTTCAAATTGTACATTACTGTTGAAACACGAGGGGGGGGGGGGGAGATATTGTCAGGCACACTTGAAAAGGGGCAGCCCTTTTATCCGTAACACCTTCCAAGCACCAGTTTGTTGACGGTAAAATCTTGCAACAACTTTGCAAAAGGTTACACTAACTCACCTCTCTCAACAAGCCATGAGAAACTTGACAGTTCCTCTGTCTACCTTACGCACATCTGGCACGGACACATGAATAGCTGCGGACCAAAGGGCAGGCTTTGCTTGTGATTCCTGCTGTTACATGACCCACAAACAAACTTGAACTCAAACAAGGAGCCTTTACAGCAGCGGCAACACCATGGTCGTCTGTGCACACAAAGATTAGTCCCCGCACAATTGGCAAGGACCAAAATACTTGTATCAATTCTGTTTTGTTGGTATAGCCGATTCACGGGTTATTTACCTTTTCAACAAAGCCTTGCTGCCTGGCATTTTTTTCTGTGATTTGCCCGAGACACTGGCATTCATGCCCACGTGGACTCGGGTCCCTGGATAAACTGCCGGTCACAAAGACAGCGCCCCACCCTTTCTTCTCACCTGGGCAAGGTGTGGGCCGCGGAGCTCGCACCTGGACACACCTGGCCGCAAGTTATGATTGAAGTCAAGCCTGAACACTGACACTATTGTTTCTGTCAATGTACCGGCCTGAGGTGTGACATGTAAAATTGATGTGCCCGTCCAGATGGAACTACAAGGGCAAGAAATATGATAACCTTTAGTTTACAGTCATGCTAAGAACATGTGGCACCGCTGGCATGTATGCTAGTGCCCTCAAGTATACAGTCACCAGAAAATTGTAACTGCATCCACCTTACAAGTACTAAACACATGGAGAAATCCTACCTTCAATACACCTGCAGTTAACATGATAGGTTTTAAAAAAGGAGGAAATTCTCAGTTCTAATCTGTAACTGCTGCATTAAGTCTTACAGCTAACAAGAATAGTAAAGAAGAGGTAATATTGACTAATGTGCCAGACTCACTTAAAACCATATTGCACGGCATGCCTTTGTCACAATCCTCGTTTGTCGTTTTATTTGAATTTCTGGTTTGATTTTTTTGTTGGTATGATTTGAATGTTTCCGACATGTTTTTTAAAAAGTTTTTTTTGTTTAATATCATTTTTGGTGTAACAGACTTGATACTTTCAAACTCACCCTTGCTCTAGAGCCCAAGCAGCTAACCGATATTTTAGTTTGCAGCAAGCAAACAGCATGATCTCAGGCATAACTAACAGGGACACATCATTTCAAAGTGCCACAGTCTTCTAAAATATACAAAAACCTGCGAAGAAAATCAAAGAAACAGTGACAGGGAATGTCTAGATCTGTACAACAAAAGAAAATTGTTCTTCTGGGACTTTCATGGGTCAAAATTGAATCCAAGTATAGGTCTGTGAATGTCAGACTCTACTTTTGAAATTTTGGCATCAGGAAAAAAATGAGAATGTGGTACGAAGCTTTGAGATGATGCCTGAAACGCCCTGTGAACAAGAATGTGAGCTAGTCCCAGAGATCTCTTATTTTTTTATTATTTTTCATTTTCATTTACACAAGTTTCTGCCGTCTTTTGCCTCAACTGTCCTCTCTCAACCGCCTAATTTTGAATGTTGGACCTGTCTTGCTCTCTCCCTCTCTCTCTTGAGTGGTGATTGTTTGTTCTTTTGTTTGTTTTTGTTTAGTCTGCTGTGTGGTCGTTTTCTGACCTCCCGTTTCTCCTTCAGCACACAGGGCATGACTAACTGGTAGTGGCGGGGCGGCTGTTAGCATTAGTAGGAAAAAGAGGGAGGGAGTGCGGGAGGGAGGGAGGGGGGCATCTTACCTTTTGTAAAAATCGGAGCACAATTCAGGGGTGCGTTAGCCAATCCCTGCTTTTGTACGATTTGTGTCGAATCGAATAAATTGAAAAAATAATTACTAAAATCTCACACCAGACCTTAGCCTTACATGTGTTAGCACCAGGGCTCTCTCTCCTCAAAAATCTCTGTGTGAACTTGACCAAGCAAATGTCAAACACAGATTTTCAACTTAGCTTAAGCCTCTGAGTTACTTTTTTCTGCATTGTGAGGGTTAAATTTAAGATCATCTTATTTGTTGAACTGTTGATGACCTTATGAAAATTTGCGTCATTTCGATTTGTTTATTCACCAATGAATGGTTGAGATTTTTGTCTGTCCCGAGCAGCAAAATTCTGCCTTTGGACAGAAGAACAGACCTGGCAGGCCTCGAAATTAACTTTTCTGCCTATTGTCCCAGCACTGTCCCGAAAATAAATTTCAATTGTTCCGAAGTGAGGTTGAACTGTCCCAACCAGTTTTTAGGAAGTATTGTATGACTTCAACTTGAAGTCAACCTTACTTTGCTTATGTTAACTCCCAGGCGCACTATAATTGCAGAGTAGACAGGAAATTGGGGGGGGGGGCTTTTCTGGATCCAAAAGCCGGGATGTGTGCCTAATAATCAAAAGAAGGGCTAACATTCTGATGTTCATTATTTTTCTATTGTCCCAAAGTGTCTTTTTCATTGTCCCAGCCCAAATTTTAGTGGTCAGTGGCCACTGGACCACCTTTAATTTCGAGCCCTGCCTGGGAGAGCCCTGATCTCCTACAGACAGTGTTAATCCTGTTGGGACAAGGACAGGAAATAGCCAATTAATTAGCAGTGGTCTGAAAAGTGGGACAAACTCACCAACCATGCCTGATTCAAGGATATTGAATGCTCCTATCACTAATCTTGGAACTTACAGCAGCTTTCCCTTAACTGAGGTAAATGTTAACGCAAAGTCTAGAATTTATCCTTCTTGGCAGCGTAAAAAGTCTAACATTTGATGGTTGATTTTATTAAGATTAGTTGAGAAATATTGGTAAGATGTCTTTGCAATGATTAGAAAGCATACCAGAAAAAAAATGTAATTGACATGATTTTAGTATTCTAATCACTCCAATATCAAAGTTTCCACAATTGCTACTTTGCTAATTACAGTAATTTCGTCTAATATAACAGTAATTCAGAGTGATCACTAGTAGTGGCATTAAGTGAAGCATTATGAAGGGTCTGTATTAGACCACCAGGCTCAAAAGGCTCATTGAAATGATTACAAATCCAAGAACTAAGGAATAAAGTATTGTGGCCTAGTAATTAAGGCCAGGGAAAAATAATATTGTGTTTCTGACTATAGCAGAACTCTCTAGTCTTTGTAGGGATCTTACATTGTACATACATGTAAATTCTGGACATAAATTTTCCAATCTGAATCTGAATGGCAAACCCTCTGAAGCATTATTTCACGCATTTTCACAAGCAAATTATTGTGAAGTATTTTTCCCTTCACTACAAGCAAACATAGGAATGGGTCTTGCATCTTCTTAAAATGTATTTCAGGCAAAATAAAAAAACCTACCATTACTATTTTTTTCAGGACTGAACTCAGAAACACGACATTTAATTTTCCTAGGCCTACTACAACTAGAGCGAGCCTGACATGAAGTTACAGTGAGCCTGTAGTGTACATTTATCTCATTGGAGACTTCATCATTCGTTAAATTAATGTTACTCCTGAAAAATTCACGTCTCCTGTCCTCTGCTTGTCTGTCCAGCCTGTGACTGTCACCTTGTGGGGGCCTCCGGTAAGACATGCAACCAAACCACGGGCCAGTGTCCGTGCAAGGATGGCGTAACTGGCCTGACCTGCAACCGGTGCGCCAAAGGCTTCCAGCAGAGTCGATCGCCCGTTGCCCCCTGCATAAGTATGTTCTTCTCCTTCAATCATACATGCTGGTGGCTTCGCTCTACTAGTATCAGTGCAGTGGAGCTGCCAGCACGGTCATTGCTTTACACTCAGATGTGGACCACGAACGACAGACTGATAAAAACTCAGAAGACTCTAAGTTTGAGTCAAACGTCTTTGCCAAAACTTGTAATTTTGGAAAAAATCAATGTCTGGGCTAAAACTGAAGAGTTACAGATCCAGAAGATTTGGACTCAAATGACTGTTACAAACTCTGAAGACTCTGAAGACACTGAAACTCGTAATTTTAGATAGATTTCAATGTCTGGGCTAAAACTGAAAAGTTACAGAGCCAGAAGATTTGAATTTGGCAAATATTGTTGCGACAAACTCACGTAATTCAGGGAAAGCACATCTGTGCTCTTCCCTGCCAATCTGTGTTTGATTGTGTTAGAAACAATGAAACAATAAGGTCTCATTTGTTGATTCGTGGTCCACATGATCAAGCCTGAGTCTGCATGTATTTGTAACTCGTGGTCGAGGCTATAGATGTTTGAAAGTTTGCTATATTTCTCGCATCCATCCTTCATCTGTGCACAAGACTTAATTCTCTTCTCCCACCCACCCCATACCCGAATCTCCTTATGCCATCTCCACCACCAGTTTTTTCGTTTTTACGTCAAACTGCGCTTCGCAGAAAACTGAGGACGTACCACCCCTCACCCTGCCGTCATGTTGACGTGGCACCCCCCCCCTTTGCTACCGGTTATTTTTTCTTCCCTGGGATTGAATCTCTTCCCACAGGACACCTAGCCTCCGTAGCAGGCTTATAGAACCGGGGGTTTGGTGGTCTTTGGCTGTTTTCTGATTATTCCAGTTCTAAAATGGGGGTAATTCAACCAGGCCGGCTATGTTGTCTATATGCAATCAGAAAATAGCACATAAAAGATCACAAAGACCCTGAAGACCCCCAAAACCCCCAGTTTTTGGCATTCTATGGAGGCTACAGGATACCCTACCACACCCCTGCAGTATCTTCTCCGTCAACAAGAAAGTACGGAAGAGACAGAGTCAAATTCCACCGACTCACACTGCCATAACCTTTCCCCGCGACTCTTAGCTTTGTTTTTTCTTGACGCACCTTGGAATTTTTTTCTCGTGCTTCGGTGCACAAAAAGACAAGGTGGAGAGAATGATGGGTTTGAAAGAATCAAGTCTAGTAAACACAGATGACGAATGTGATGATACTTTTTTTTACCTATACAAGATATAAACATCATACTGGACAAAAGTACTACCTTAAGTCACAAAGTCAGAACTGTTGGAAAGACACGATAATAATATGTCATGGATGCACAGTCACTGTCTCAATTTTTCTTTGAAATTGATTTCAACAAGACCACTATTGATTGTAACATCATCATACCATATCCAGCAGCATTGAACAAAAATTAGGGCCGAAAGAAATATAAGTGCAACATTACCATGATTTTGAACTGTTGAAATTCATCAAGCATTTTGGGCTGGACTTGCACTGTGCAACCAATGTCTTGATATCCAATCGAGTTATCAAAATTATGATCCTTTGATCATATAGCACAACACACATTATGAAACAACACACAACAGTTGCATACAACACACTGAGTGTTTAAGACCAAATACTGACAGTAAAGTCACTATCGTTCCTGTCTGCTTTCCCACAACAGAGATCCCAAGAGGGCCGACGAGTGTGCCAAGCCCAGTCTATCCCAAACCAGGTATGTGACTATCTTGTCTCAGCCCATCAGTTTAAAGACATCCAGTGCAGTTTTTAGGGCTTGGAAACCAGATTTAATATTCCAGTCATTTATCAACATACTGAGTTGAAACCACACTATCCCAATGTATATTGACAATAATGGAGCAAAAATTCCCAACATTCTGACAGAAAATGGTTACTGGAAGGGCCCTGAGCTGATTTTTAGGGTACCACCCAGAAAATAAAGGACTCATCTTGGGCTTGTTTCTGCAGTTTTAAATATGCCCAAAGTACGAAATGCTGATTTAAATGTGCTACTATGAAGCAGTATGTGTCAATATCACAAACATTGCCATATTCAAAATATTTCCAGTTTTGCTGCCCTGAAATCGCATTGGATGCCTTTAAAACACATTCAAAGACAAATCAAGCTCTACTATCAGATAAATTATGGAGAGTTTCGAGTGACCTCCGTCAATCTTCTTCAGCGTTACTTAATAAATCAAACAAGAAGATTGACAAATGTCACTCAAAATGTCCAGAAGTAATCTCCATAATTTATCCAGTAGTAGAGTTTGATTTGTCTTCGAATATTGTTTACCTTGATGTCTTATTTTCATCAACGTACTATTAAATACACATTGTACCGTGCCTGTTGCTTTCAAACGTGTTACACAGAATGCCCCCACTTTGCCACGTTGATAGCAGGTTGAATTTATATTAATTTTGTCATAATTATAAAGATGTTGAATTTACAACAGTTACTACTACACAAAGTGCACATTCAGAATACAACACACTGAAGAAATAACTGATGAAGAAAACATTGTCATCGAGTTAAAGAAAACTGACGTGAGAACGGCATTAGAATGTCATGTCCAGCCAATCTGGTCAAAATATTATGACCAGCATTTGGAGATAGATGAAATTCCCCACGTAAGTTTCAATGCCACGTCGTCTAAACTGTGTGCAGCTACCAAAATACAATCACACGTGTCAGTGCCATTCACTGAAGTTCCTACAAGCTAAAGGGATAAGGTACAGGGTTCTCACTAGGCTGTTTGCGCATAGGAGGCCCCTATGCTGTGATTTAGCACCCTACACAGTCTTTTAACCAGCATAGGGGTGTTTCTTTTTTGGGAGGAGCCTTGTAACCCTTCATAAATCTGCTATTGGACTCTAAAATGAACGTATAACTAAGGCAAAACATACTCAATATATCCGGTTTACAAAGTATGTCCCTCAATAAGCCAGAAATAGTGTCTCAGGGTTATGAGTATTTAAACATTTTTTTGGGAAAATACCAGTGATCATGTCTTTGGGGCTCAATGGGAATCTATGCAAAAAGTTGTCCTTCTGTACCTAACCCCCAGATGAAAAAAAAAACACGGGCAAAACTTACCCCTATGGTATATAGAGTTTTTAAGTTGGATTTATTTTGAAAACTCTTTTTTCTTTTTCCCATGCTGAAGGTGAACGGTGTCCGGAATGCCAAGGAGCGAAGAAAGTCAACAGGAAAAACTACTGCAAGTCAGGCTATGGTAAGTGCAGACCAGCGAGTACATGTACTGTAGCCTCCATAGCATGCCAAAAACTGGAGTTTTGGGGGGTCTTCATGGTCTTTGGGAGCTTTTATGCGCTATTTTCTGATTGCATATAGACAACATAGCCGGCCTGGTTGATTTACCCTGGCCCGTTTTTTCTTAGAAATGGGCTAATCAGAAAACAGCCGAAGACCACCAAACTACCAGTTCTATAAGCCTGCTACGGAGGCTACATGTACTGTAGATCGGAACCTTTCGTGTTTTTATTTTCACAGTGACTGCTCCACTGGGAATTTATGGCACCACAGATATGCGTTCCAATGTATTACCTATTATTTCTACTGCAAATCTAAAATATTGTGAAAACCTCCATTTCCCTCCTTCTGCGAAATAAAACCACTGTGAGAGTAAGTAAATTGAGGGTACACATGTGTATGTTTTTCTCATCATTGGGGAAAAAAATCACACATGCATAGCTAAACTGATTCTATCAACAGATGACAGTGTTGAAAGATATGACGGTTATGTTTCGTTGAAGATTTATGTTTCGAAGCATTTTAGGCAGACTGTTGGGTTGATCGCAGACACAGCGAGTGCTATTTGCCATTCACACCAAGTCGCCAAACCCGAAGTTCAAATCTTAGCCGGCGACGAACCGTCTCGGAGATTGGAGGTGGGGAGGGGGGCGTTGTTTGGTCAAGCCTGGCATAACACATAGTCACTGACAGATGACAAGTCACCACACCACACAATCTGTCCACCCAACACTTAACAAGCAAGTAGAACATTCTGCAACGGACACTGATATACTGGCCTGTCTGAGGCCGGGCCCGGTCCTGTTTACACCCCGATAGATGTACTAGAAGATACGGCAGGGGGGAGATTTTCGTTCCGTTTTCATTCTTGATAAAAAGCGTGGAGGGGGAACAATTAGCAAAATATTTGGAGAAGCCATAATTGGGATGGATTTATGAGCCCCTGGCATGGGTAGTACATGGCCCGTATGCCAAGGATGACTGCAAAGTCCGATCATTGTTCAAAAGGTTCGGATTCTCCGATGTCCCATCCAACCCTCATCTGGCCCCAAGGCGCCAGCGCCGAATTTTTATCATGGTTTGTCTGTATCTATTTTCAGACGTCATATTTGTCAAAGCCGTCCTCTGTAGTAACAGCAAACATTACAACAAATTTGACCTCGATTGTATGAAAAAAAAAGATGTTATGCAATGCAATGATATAAGGAAAATACACTTTATTTGCCATTGCTCACAATACAGAACTGAAAGATGAGTTATGTGGACTATACATGTATGTCATCAAATTTTACCAGCCTTCAAAACTTGCTGCTAACACATATCAATATGGGGTGGACTCTGCCTTCCAATACCGTGCCCTAGACACTGTAGATCTACAACCCACTGCTTCTACAGCCTCTACCTTTTTATCATGATTGTAATATCTAGTGGTAGTGGTACATGTAGTGATTGGTTTTATTTCTCATTGAAGGAAAGTTTACAGTTTCACAGTGCGCTGTGTAGCCTGCGCGCTGAATTGCACTGGTAAAACAATTGGACAGATACATGTGTAGTTACAAATATCTAAAAGAATTATTACGATAAAAGTTTGTTAAATACATTACTTTGGTACATCTAACTGTGAGTCTTGTCTGTGTGTTTTCCACAGTTATCATGTGCAGCATAATGTCCAGGGAGATCCTGGGAGAATGGACGAAGTTCACCATAAACGTTGGGACTATATTCAAACGCGAGCAGAGCTTGAAGCTTCGACGGGGAGACCAGTACATGTACGTGCGGCAGTCCGACCTGCAGTGCAAGTGCCCCAAGCTTCGTCTCGGGCGGAAATACCTGCTGATGGGTTCTGTGGACAGTAACAACAACAGAGAGGGCCTGACCCTGGACTACAGAAGTACGGCCATACCCTGGAGGAACAGATGGGGCAAGAGACTGCGACGGCACCAGAGACGCCAGAAGGACGGCAAATGTTGATTCAATCTTCCTGCCATGTGGAAACTCTTTTTTTTTCTTCTTCTTCTTCTTCGACACTTTTCTCTTGGACAAAAAAAAACTGAGTAATGCCTGGATAGGACCAGTGTGTATGGCAAACCTACGTGTATGTCAGAACTTCACACACAGATTGAGGATAACAGCGGAACTCTCTCGGACTGCGTTTGATTCGGCAGAAACATGGGACAACACCAGACAGTGCTTGTTCATAGCGTTGTCAACGACAAAATACAGGAGGCACATTTGTGTTATCTTGCAAAAGTTTTCTTTTTTTTGTTGGAACATATCAGAGTAGTTTAAAAGCTGCACTTCGAATTGCTCTAGTGGAAGGTATGCCGCTGTCTAGTATAAACAGGACGAAGCCACGATTTTGTTGTTCCAATTATAAACAAAATTCCGCAGCAGTTGTAACTAAAGTCCGAGTCATTTTCTTTCACAACTCCACTCCACTTGTTTCAGATACTTTTTTGTTTATAAATATTATATATTCATCAGGCACTGTGCTGGCTATTGTTGCATCAAATCCAACAACTTTTTTTTCATCTCAATTTATTTCAAAATTTTGTACTGTAGAAACCATGACCAGTGCCATGCTTGGAATTTCTAACAAAAACACCACAAGACTCTGCAATTTTTTTTGGCGAAGCCTCAGGGGCGGAGGCGTTTTCCTAGCTGTAATTATTCTTGAGGTTGGTATTCATGAAGACACGGAAGACTGTAACTGATGATGGCTAAGTATAAAAAAACTAGAGTAAGGAATATTTATAATATGAAGAAATAATAACAAGTAATGCTACCATCGAGCAATAATTCTTGTTTTATTTGTATTGTACTAATGACAAAAATAGCAACAACTTGCAAGTGTACGTATATGGATGGATGTGTGTAAGTGACTTGATGTCCTTGTACAAAGCTAAGGCTTGTAATAACGTTTCACAAGTTCCGTAGGCTTAGAGAGAAAGTCGTTCGTGTACATGTGGTATTTTTCTCTTCATTCTTGTTGCCAATTCGTAGTATGTAGATAAATGCTATACTCGCTATTTATTACATCTTATAACCCTCCCAACGGGGGGTATAATATTCTAAAAAAAAACAATGTTGTCACTGTTAAAAGATCCTGTCTATTATATTATAAGGATGGGTGAGGAGAGTCTGTATCTCCATCAGTATTTGCCCCTTGCTTTAGGCGTTCGTTGGTTTTGCCAGTGAGATACGTACGAGACTGAAAGGCTGCTAGGGGGACGATGTCGTTTCACTGTCAGTGACGTGTTTGTTCATTCTAATATAACTGTGGATTCTGTACAAACTAACCAAAAAACAATGGATTCAGAACTATTAAATGTAAATTTATGTACAAGATTCAATGGGTTGTGTCTATTTTGTGTCTACGCCTGGCTTTATAGTGCACTTGATGATCCTAGTCATTGAATTTCTATTTTCTGATAACCAAGGTCATTTTTGATGACTAAATATATAATGCACTCCAAATTGAAATGGTTTTGCAGGGCTCAAAATACCACCAGTCCTGCATATATTCGGCTTACTGCAGGTAAAATGAGCTGTGCAGGTAGTTCTGATGTTTATATATACAGTCATATGTATGTGTGTATAATTTAGGCCTCATGATGCAACTTCTAAACATGAACATGAAAGTTCACAAATGTGCATCTATCAGTGCTATGATCCAAGGGAGAAGGGGGTACGCACAACCATTGTTCCTTAGCCCCAAACTGTTTACATAAAATTAGGCGAATAAATTCCTAATGATACACTGTAACTGATCAAACCTACAGCTTCACTTGTCAAGCTAAGTCAAATTTATTACTAAAATTGTCTAAAATATAAAAGTCTTGATGGTGCCTGGCTGCTACAGTATCATAGGAACTGTACACGAATCATGAAGACTGGCAGATTGAAAGATTTGTTCACTATCACTGACACCCATGATCTAAATGTAAATAGTCTGATTGCTGATGGAAAGAGTCATACATATTGTTGGGTTGCATGTTGTGTTGGGTTACCTGGCACTGGTGACACTGAAGACTGCTGGGCCACTCCCTCTAAAAACAAAAGGAACGACATTGTTTTGATTATCTACTACTGTTGCTGAAGATGCAATGATAATAATAATTCACAAAACCTGGGTATTGGAAGAAGAAACTTTTTACGTTACCTCCTTGTAGGGAGGTTTTGGTTTGTCTGTGTGTTTTTTGTGTTCTTTTCACATGTTAAGGCACATCATCAGGGACACTGACAGGAGGTAAGGTCAAAGGTCCCAGATAGAAAATGTTATCTCCTTTCCTGTCTTAAATTTCCTGCTACATGTATAATGCATGTCTGTTGCATTATGGGAGGTGCAGGAAATGATGGCCAAAACACGAAATTTTCAAAAACTCAGGCCTGCCATGGATTCCAACCCAGAACCTTCAGATTCTAAGTGAAAAACCCTAAACACAAGATTACCTTGCCATATCTGTATCTGTATAGCCAGTATAACCGCCCTTCTGCGTAACACACCAGCTTCTGTATCTGTATAGCCGGTATAACCGCCCTTCGGCGTAACACACCAGCTTCGCAAACACGTGGTATGGCGGCACCTGGCTACATTACACCAAACAACTTGTTACACATTCTTTAAACTCTAAACATTCTTTAAAGCTATCTAATGACTTGCCATATTTTTAAAAGAATGACTGAATGTATATGAGTCAGGGCTTACCAAAGTACTGCTTCCAGTCTCGGTCGTCAGCTTACTTTGGAATGCAGGCCACCACCACAATGGCAATCAGAAGTAAGACAATCACCACGATCATTCCTACAAAAAATAATAACAGGCACTGAAGAATCATCACCACAGTCATCCCTTTTACAAAAACATCAGGCACTGAAGGGTTCCCCACACAATACTCTCAAAAACTTTTGTATAGCAAGGTCACATACTACAATGTAGATAAGTAAGTGCAAGTCGATGAGTGTGTGAATGTGAGAAACACGCTTTTAAAGTTCACGAGAAGATGAAGGTCAGATGAAGGTGAAATGCCCCCCTCCCCACTAGAACAGTTAGCACACACACCTCCATCAGAGTTTCTTCCTCCTTTTGAAGAAGTATAGTTGGACAGTGAAAAGAAGAAAGATGGGAGATGTGAGCAAGACACTGTAGATACAGAAACTTCGAATTTCATGTTGGTGATTTTCAGTGTTTTCACTCTTACCACAAAATCACAACAAGCCAAATTTGTGTTCTACAGTTACTGTCCTACAGAATATTTTTATGTTTCAACCGCAAAATTCAAACAACATGAAAACCTTTTTCCTCCTACTATGAAATAAAACCATCGCAAAGATAAATGCATTTACAGTATCAAAGAAGTTTCATGGTCCAAAAGTTCAAGCACTACTCAGAACTTTTAGGACATCAAAGATGTGACTTGTCAAATCACAAAGAATATTTCTACAATAAACATTGCATCAAAATGTTGTAACAACCACACAAAGAGTGACACTTTGGAAACAAGGCAGAACAAAAAAAGAGAAATCTGGGAATACGTGTACATGTACACGTCCAACAACTGTCTTCAGTGACAACGACAAATTTGTGGTTTCCGCTTCGTTTACTGGAAACACCTCCTACTGCATATTGGTCCGGATGAGTCCGGATGAATCACACATTTCCTAGAAGTAGTTGGACCAAGTCTCTAAAGTTGAGAGTGAGTGATAGCCCGGAACCCAGACTGTCTCTTGGGTCTACACAGGACAACTCCTCAGCTCCAGGGCCAACATGCCCCCAAGGAAATTTTACCACAGCCCTCCCTGAGTTTAGCCTGGAATCCAGACTGCTTCCAGGGTCTACACAGGACAGCTCCTCAGCTCCATTGCCAACATGCCCCGAGGAAATTTTACCACAGCCCTCCCTGAGTTTAGCCTGGAATCCAGACTGCTTCCAGGGTCTACACAGGACAGCTCCTCAGCTCCAGGGCCAACACGTACATGCCCCCAAGGAAATTTTACCACAGCCCTCCCTGAGTTTAGCCTGGAATTAAGACTCTTTCCAGGGCCAATACAGGCCAGCACCTCAGCTCCAGGACCATCATACTACCAAGGAAAACTTTCTCACAGTCCTCAAGTTAGACTCGTTTTTTCAAATTGTCTGTGGTAAAATTTCCTTGGGGCCTTGTTGGCTCAAGGAGCTGGCCAATATAGGCCAACTAAAGCCCTGGAAATAGTCTGACATCCAGGCTATCAACTTAGACTTGGTCCAACCAATGCATTCTATTAAAGAAGCAAGTGATTCCAGTTAACATAGCGGAAACCACAAATTTGCTATTGTTAAAGACAGTTATTGCACACGAATGTTTCTTTACTTGTTTGTTCTTTATCAGTGTCATTCTTTTACAGTGGCATGTTGTTACAACTTGCTGAAATTTTCTTTCTGATTAGACATTTAGTCCATTCCTTATGTCCTACATGTAAAAGTTCAACAGTTGTGCTTTCTTCTTGTTGAACTCCTGAAAACTGTCTATAAAGTGACTAAGCAAAGTAAGGGTGCGAACAAGAGGAAACTCCTGAAAACTGTCATGAAAGTGACTAAGCAAAGTAAGCGAGCGTTGTCAAGAGCATTGAATAATAACTTACCACAGTTGGCCGACTTCTTGTCCACAAATATTGTTGTTAAAGACATTTATTGTACACAAATGTTTCTCCAAATATTCCTTGTTTGTTTACATAGTGTCATTCTTTGAGCAATTGTTACAACTTAAGAATATATTTTAGAAATTTTGTTTCTCATTGAAACAAGCCCATTGAATTTCCTTATGTTTTAAAAGTACAACAGTTGTGCTGAACATCTGATAAACTGTCTAAAAAGTGACTAAGCAAAGTAAGCGAGCGTTGTCAAGAGCGTTGAATAATAACTTACCACAGTTGGCAAAAAACCTTTAATTGGGTATATTGCAGAAATTTTGTTCCTGATTTGACAGGCCCATTTCTTACAGTATGTTTAACAGTTGGGCTTTCTTGTTGAACTCCTGAAAACTGTCTATAGAATTGACTAAGCAAAGTAAGGGTGCGAACAAGAGGAAACTCCTGAAAACTGTCATGAAAGTGACTAAGCAAAGTAAGCGAGCGTTGTCAAGAGCATTGAATAATAACTTACCACAGTTGGCCGACTTCTTGTCCACAATTTTGACGTGTCTCGTCTCCTTCAGCAACCTGGCGTCGGTCTTCTGCACCCCGCTTTGGATGTCATCAATTAACTCTGCCGAACAAGAGGAAGAGAGCGTCAGTCCCGGAACGGTCTGTTTGTTGATAATGGCAGCCGCCGCGGCGACGTGTTTGTGTTGCTTATAAAATAACAGACGTGTCACCCGCGCCAGGTATGCCTACTTGGGACAGAACCAAAATGCCAATGACTATGAATGATCTTCATATTATATTTTTTTAAAATCCAATTTTAACGCCATTTTTCCCTGAAACAGGGGTTAGACCTGCTTGCATCAAATGCAAGTCTTTTTTTGGAACAAGATTTTTACAGCTGGATGCCCTTCCTAATGTCAACCCAAATCCTAGTAGGGCCCAGGATCCCTCTAATAGGATAGGTTTATTGCAAATTCCTGCCTGAAGGCTAATTGCAAATAACAAAAAACGAAGATTGAAACATGGCACAAAATAACTTAACAAATTAAAATAATGCGAGGTAATTGTTTAAAACTATGTCAGACTCTGAAGGATTTTACTTTTCTTTTGTAAAGCATGGAAGATGTACACAAATATTGTACAAAATTGCATATCATGTATAATTACGTATACAGTAAGGCTCAGAGACAAATTAAAGTTAAAGGTCTATAACCAAGGAGGAACGAAATAAATTGTTCTTTAAGATAGAAGATATCAGACATGTCGTATCAATTCATTGGAGCCACTTCTTTTTATTTCCAGGTATGGAAGTATTGTTTTGGGTGGCTGAGCTGAGGGTTTGGGTGTCTGTTTGGATCTCTTGAAAGAGTAGGTTGACAGCACATGGGGAAAATTGACAGGCAGAATGACAGGAAGTCAAAAGGCCAGACTTGAATGTCACGAAAACCCAAAATACTTCCTTGAAGTCTGAAATCTCAAATTTGTTGGTTTTTAATGTAGACTGCCAGTATTTTTTTTACACTTTAATAAAATGTAGTATATAGTAGAGGGAATTCATTCCTCAAGCTAACCGACATCTTGCACACTTGTCTGACAGGCTGAATAAAAGTTCTAAACGGGAACTATGCGGCTCCAAATGTCTTACTGAGGGACGACTGCGTGTGCGAGATGTCGGTTAGCATGAGGAATGAATCACCTCTGCTATATATTTTAATAAAATGTAGTAATATATTGTCAATGCTTGATGGCAACCTACATACTATCTACACTTGCCGCTGGTAATATCTGAATGTTACACTGTAAGCAAATAAGGTAGAGTCAAATCCTATAAACTGTCTGCAACCTTTCTGCAAATGGGATCACCAGACAGATCAATCATGCACACAAACTTTCTGGTCACCACCTCAGCTGAACTTGGAAGACCTACATGTACTATGGACGTCCCAACTACCAAGTACCTAATACCAGCCCAGAAGAGAACAAGAAATAGCAATGCCTTCAAGAGTTATCAACCGAGGATTGAGGTGTTCAAGAATTCATTCTTTCCTAGAACTATCGTAGAGTGGAACTCACTGTCACCAAGTACAGTAGGGGCATTGTCATTAGATAGCTTTAAACAATTTCTAGAGTTAGAAGTTCAAGGGTTAGGTATAACAAGTCGATCGGTGTAATGTAGCCAGCTGCCGCCGTGCCGCGTGCCTGTGAAGCTGGTGTATTACGTCGAAAGGCAGTTATACTGGCTATACAGATTCAGATACTATGATGTAGGGAAGACCTACATGTAGGGGATGTATAATTCTGAAAGCATTGCCATGATATCTCATACCATGTACCAGTTTAAACTTTTCTGGGCCTGAAATACCCTTTTCTGCATATATACCTGCACTGGTGCAGGTAACACTGAAGATTACCTTCAACAAATAAATTTTACCTGCACCTCAATTTAGGAAGTATGTATTATACTAAAGACTGTTAAGAAACCACTGCCATCATTTCTTTCATCTTGTGATGATATTTAGTAACGTTATATGGTTAGGTCTTTGGCAGACAATGGACTACCTTTTCTTCATGTAGGTACTGTAGCAGAATGTACAGTCTTGTATTTTCTGCTCTACAACAAAGTTTTTAAACAGTGATCAGTGCAAACAAATTCTCCAACAAATCTTTACATTGTGAAAGGGATTCTACAGTAACTAATGTAAAGGGACAACTGGGCAAAGCTTTCATCAAATTCTTGAGATGACAAATTAGGTATTGCTCTGTAACTGGATGGTTCCCAATTTATGTTACTTCTTTGTTATTAAAATTGAAAAAAAAAAAAAGAAGCTTTCATCAAATTGTGAACCGGTCAGGAGGGAAAATCCCTGAATGACCTGATTTAAAAGCCCTACCTGAGGCTTCTACAGGCGTAACCCAAATGTGTTTAGTTCCCTGATTAGATTAGCACTGATTTACAATGTAGTTAGGCGCTTGGAGGTACTTTGAAGCTCTGATATGTCATGTTTTGTTGGTGGTAGGATGGTGGGCCGGTGATGTGTGGTGTGTATCTGTCAGCCACGTACATTAACCCCTGTCACTCAAAGCCTTGGGCTGCGGGGAGGGGGGCAGACTTCAACAAACAAGTCCTCACTATACTGTTCTGCTGGCTGACTTTGAGACTTGCTCAGGCCACAGGAATTCAGTTCTATGCTTCTTGGACATCAATGAAGTAAAATAAGTTAGTGAAATAGTGAAATACCTTTATTGTACATTCATGTCACGACAGGCTAGGTACAGGTCAGACACATAACAAACGTAATATGTAGAAAAGTGGAGAAAAAAGATAGTGGGGATGCCTGGAGCCTACGGTGGTCTGGATGTAGTGGGCTTGTTAGATAATGAAATGAAATGAAATACCTTTATTGTACATTCATGTCACGACGGGCTAGATACAGGTCAAGACTCAACAGACACATAAGAAACGTATGTAGAAAAGTGGAGAAAAAAAGATACACTACTTGACTTAGACATACATACATAAGGAACATACAAGGGTACTATACTAGGATTCTAGTTACTGAGCTAATACAGAGTGGTCAACTTCTTCTCGCTTTTAACATGCATATGTTTGAGTCAGAATCTGAAGGTTCTGAGTTTGAATCCCAGGCTGGCCCCAGTGTTATGCTCTTGGGAAAGGCACATACATTGTTACTGTATTTCCTCACTCGACTCAGGTGAAAATGAGTACCTACAGTATAGCTTCATCATACATGTAGATTCAAGATACGTTAGACATTAAATTGGTGTCACAGTGGCTTACAGTGAAAATCCAACAATAGGACTACTAGTCCTACAAAAACAGGGAACTGAGTGGAAAAAATTTCTGCCATGTGACCATATTATCTCCATACAACAGTAACCCAACTACAGGTATCTACTTTTCCCAGAGTCTGTTTTTGCGTTTATCTTCCCGTTTGGCATACTTTTCTTTTTTCTGAGTACAAGAGCTGACAAATTGAATTGGTATGGCCTGACCTTACTGCATTAGGTCCACGAGACCTTCAGTTAACTTACAGCCAGTGAAGCCGTGATGCGTGGTAAGGCCACTCCGAAACACAAAAAGGCCAGTTTGAAACATGGAAAGGCCATTTCGGAACGTGAAAAGGCCAGTTTGAAATGTGGGAAGGCCACTGCGCCACAATGTCTTACAAACTTGTAAGATCACCTTAGTGACCAGGCATGCCACACAACAACTTACAGTAATGTTCAGGTAAAGACACTGGTGGATCTGAACCTGAGGGTCTGCATGGGGGGGTCCTGATAATACTCACATTCAGTAAAACAGATTATGATAAATTCACCAAGTCAATGCCTCAAAATGTGTATCCAGATGTGTCCATCTTGTTATAAAAATTACAGGGATAAAATTTTAACTTTCCCTACAAATTACAGTTCATCAAAATAGCTTCCCTTAAAGTAAGGCATTATAGGAAAGAGGGCCTGCATGGGGGGTAGTGATTATGAATTACGCAAAATTTTTGCTGCTGATTACGAATTACGTTTAAGTCTCAGAGCTAATTACGACTTTACGATTTGCGGCTAATGTCCTATTACGAATTACGTTGATTTTTGCAGAGGCTGCCTACGAATTACGAAGTCTAAAAAGGCCTGATTACGCCTTACGAAAAAGGGCATGCTGGCCCTCAGGAAAGGGGCAAGCTACATTGTAGCTCCCTTGCCTACAAATGTACTCTTGGGAGGGGGTGGAAAAGTCCCGCCCTGTTTTGACAGTTTTCTTCTCCATCCATTAACCTTTCAGTAAGAAGACCAGAGCAGATACTTGTGTAAATAAAGCATTAGTTACATCAAAGACGGAGTCTTCCTCCTCGGACATTTCGCTGGCGTTGGGGGGTATTTATCCCCAAACACCGTCTTGAGAAAACATTCTTTGTGTCTTAAAGAAGTGTGTTCAAGTCTCTCATGCATGTACACCCCTTAATCATCTTATTATCTAGAGACTTTAAGATGTAGGTTAAAGGTGAAGATGACTTAAGCCAATTACTTCATACCTGAAAATACCTGATGACAGTCTAAACTGTTCATGAGGACCACTGACTGATAAAACCTGGTCTTTGTGGACACAAGGTCCAGAATACTCACTCTCACACTTTTGCCGTCATTCACTCACACTCACTATCCAGGATTAGATTATACTGCTGCTGTTGTCCCTGCCACAGGGGTCGGCAGCAGTCGGCTAGTAGTGCTTGTCTTCACACTGCACCTCCAGGCAGCCCTATCCAGTGGGTTAACACAGGCAAGGCCGCGCTCTCTAATGTCTTTCTTCACACACTCTATCCACTGGCAGGTCTTTTTCGGTCTTCCTCGACCTCTGCTGCCATGCAAGTCAACTTTTCTTTGCAAGACTTACGTGGGAACCGCTAGGATATGAAGTAACTTTTCTGAAGTTTACAGCAGTCCAGTCTATGGCTGTGAGAACTACAGAAATACATGTACTCAGTGGTCTTGTGGTAAGGGTTGTTGAAATTTAAAGGTTCTGGGTTCAAATCCCTATCAGGAAAGCCATCTACATGTAACACCAGTACCTACATGTATTTCCCTACGTATTTGACTCAGGGCTTTGGT